AAAAAACAAAAAAAAACAACAACCAACAAAACATTAATACATAAACAACAAAACCATTAAAAACCTCTCTGCCTGTCTGCCTGTCTGCAGACATCTGTTCAAATGTTCTCTCCGTCCATTCATCAGTTCATCCGTCAGTCGTCGACTTTGTGAGCTCTTCTGCAGAACGTCCAGTGATGTTCAACTGTGTTCTCATTTGCCCGTTCGCTCATGTGATGAACACGAGTGTTGCGAATTGTGAAGCCCTGGAAAACAGTGAGACAGGCAAACTGAGTCATCTCACCAAATAAACTCAGATTTTGCTTTTTTTTTTAAACGCTATGTTGTGTAAACACATAAACACAGTATAAACACTGTAATGTTGACCACATACAATTCAGCCAGCAGTGTGTGCTACAATCTAATTTCTTGGTGTGTCAGAATTTAAAAGGTTGAAATACTCCAACTGATCTAAACAGTGTTTTCTAGCAGCAGGTTAAAGGTGAGATAAAAGCTACACACAGCTTTGGAGATGAAGTCGAGCAGGTGGACACGCAGGCTGACTTCCTGTTGATGGTCACATGGTCCGAAGGTGAAGGACACCTGGTAGTCTCTGGTGTCCATCATGTGTTTGTTCCACTTTGTGAAACTGCGTGAGATAGACTCCAACACTGCGTGGACCTAAAAAGAGATTAAGGTGACTACTTATTAAAAATGTATTTATTATTTTTTTATTAACTACGGTTTTGTTTTTATATACTTTACCATTTTATTTACTGTATTCAAATAATTATTGTTCTTTGTATCTTGTTGTTATATAGTATTTTTTAAATGATATTGATTATATTGATTGAAATTTGATCTCAATCGCCATAAATGTTATGATGTTATTTAACTAAACAGAATCTCTTAAAACAATAAATTACATGATTTTAAGAATAGATTCTTGTCAGGATTTAAACTGAAGCATAAAATGTATGAGAATGTATGAGAATGTCCCTGTTAAGTGAGGGAACAAATAAATGTATGAACCTGAAACACAGGTAACAAGCAAAATGTGGTAAACGTTGCATTTTTTGACACAAAGTGATATTTAGAGGCAACACGAATATAAACATAGTCAAAGGAAAGATGTGAACAGAGGGAAAGAGGTGTAGATACGCACTAAACAGAAGAAAATGTGTCAAATTTAGTGAACGTTAGTGGATGAGGGTTAAATTAGAGAACAATGCATATAATCATGTTTTTGTGTTACTGAATGATATATCGATAAAACCCTAACTAAACCTGTTCCCACTGACCTTGGTGGTGATGGTGAGCTGGGTGATGATGACTGCGACGGGGTTGGAGTACTTGGACAGCTTCCTGGTGCTGGACAGCTCCACCACCTCCTCGTAGGTGTCAGTGGGGTAGGGCAGCAGGGGTTTGGGGTCTCCCAGGCACTGGATCAGGGGCTCGATCTGATAGAAGTCAGCCTCCTTCCTGAGCAGCTCAGTCTCCTTGAAGTCGCACGGCAGCGTCAGCTCTGACGTCCGCAGGAAGTTGAGGATGTAGCTGACGCAGCAGAAACAGAGACAGGATCATTTCAGACTGCTGAGTGAACGATTCTGTAAAACTCTGAGCTGTCAATTAAAGTCAGGACAGGAGGGAAGAGAGAGCTGATGTTTCTCGAGAGGGAGAAAAGTTTGTTTTTGTTTTTCTGACATTTGAGTTTGGTCTTTATTTTTAATATTTGATTCACTTCTCTCTTAACGGACAAGGCTCATGTTATTCTGTATTTTTTTTTGTATTCTCAACAAATCCCATGAAAAACAATGTGTTGAGTACATTTCTCAATACTTTCTACCCTAACATGTCTATGGCATTCATGCCGCTTAATTAATGTTACTGAAGATGCAAATCTTTAAAACCAGCTCATTAATACATACCCCGAACAGCCATGACATTATGACCACCCTGACTGGTCTGCGGCTACGTAGCCCCATACTCAACAAACTGTGATGCTTTGTGTTGTGACGCCTTTCTATCAGAACCAGCATTAACTGTTTCAACAGTTTGAGCTACAGTTCAATGAGCCTTGGCCGTTTGGGTTTGTTTCCTTCCTCTGGACCACTTTTGATATGGTACTGACCTGCTGCAGACCGGGAATCATGCCCACAAGAGCTTGCTGTTTGGAGGATGCTCATCACCAGTTGTCTAGGCCATCTACAATGTGGCTTGCCAAAGGTCGCTCAAATCCCACACTGCCAATGTTTAACAAAGGACAAAATGTTGACTTGCTGTTTATTTATCCCACCCACTACGCAGGCAATGATTAAACAGATAATCAGTGTTATTCACTTCAACTCTGTCAGTGCTCACAATGTTATAGCTGATTGGTGAAGCTTCATGTTATAAAAATTGAACAGGATGATGAATCAACGTAAACTACAGTGTGTAACTTTAATGGTAATAAAGGAACATGTCACCCAATGAGTGTGGCTCATTGATGTGTTTGAATAGTTTTTGGACAACAGTGGAGCTCTACAGCACAAGATCAGCCATAACATTGTGAGCACTGAAAGGTAAAGTGAATAACACTGATATATCTTGGTTATCATGGCACTGCTGTTCAGGGGTGGGATAAATAAAGCAAGCAAGTGAACATTTTGGTCCTTCAAAGTTGATGTGTTAGAAGCAAAAAAAAATTGGCAGTGTGAGGATTTGAGTGACTTTGACAAGGGCCACATTGTAATGGCTAGACGACTGGGTGAGAGCATCTCCAAAACTGCAGCTCCTGTGGTGTTCCCGCTCTGCAGAGGTCAGTACCTATCAAAAGTGGTCCAAGGAAGGAAAAGAACCAGAGACAGGGTCATTGATATATGTGGGGATCCAACAGACGAGCTACTACAGCTCAAACTGCTGAAACAGTTCATGCGGGTTCTGATAGAAAGCTGTCAGAACACACAGAGCATCACAGTTTGTTGCACATGGGGGGGCTGCATCGCTGTATATCAGGCTTTGATACGCAGATAATACTTGTTAGCAGAATCGAAAAATATAGGTCAGAGAGGAAGGCCACAATCTCAATTTCTGCTGTGATATGCAGTTGGTAGGGTCAGAAATGGTGTGGGGGAATATTTTCTTGGCACACATTAATACCCTTAATACCAATTGAGCATTGTTGCATGAGAGCGAGTGTGCACCACCCGACCAGCAAAAACATATACGTTACTTGACTACCCGAAACTGACCCGCAAGCCTGTAACTTTATGCTTTACAGTAGCAGAATTGTCAGGACTGAGTGCTGCAGCACTCTCGTAGGGGCTGATCCTGCTGCAGGGAGCAGCTAGAAGCTGTCAGAGTGCTCTCTGTCTCCACCGCCCACAGTAGTGTGAAGATCTAGGCTAAATAAACAGACAAATTGTTCCAAACGGTGTTCTTTATTATTCAAAAGCAGCTAAACAAGTAACCCTTCATTAAAGACACAAACTCTCTCTTTCTCTCTAGACACACCACACAAATGATTGGAATATAACATTCATATGTATGTTTTCATTAGCGTATAATCACCTGAATATAAGAATCTTTGTGTTTTTGTAACCTGAGAATGAGCTGTTTTATCTACCGAGGGAACAGGTCCTCGTCTTAGGAGTCCACCATGTTGAACCACCATGATTCTACAGTAGCCCAGAACAGACAAACCAAACACTGACTCTAGATAGAGCCTCTTTTGTTTTCCGCGATTTTCGCGGCAACCATAGTTTCTGCTTCTCACTTGGTTAAGTCAGGGGTTTTCAGGTGGTTGCAATCTGCAATCTCACCACAAGATGCCACTAAACCCTCCACAGTGATCTTTGAATAGTGAATTTTTACAAAACAGTAGCCTACATGTGTAGGTCTACATTGTCTTTTTTTGTCTAGTGTTTCTGTGTAGAGAAAACACCACAGAGTCCAGTCCACAGTCCCAGGTTTAAACCTCAGACAGGCTTCAAGCTCAAACCAGCTGAGCTGAAACTGCACGCGCTCGATGCTTTAATGCTCAAGCCAGCATTTGTATGTGTTTGAGAGAAAGAGAGAGAAGGAAGATGCTTTTCCCACCAATTAAAGCAAAAAGCGCGGAAATCTGAAAGGAAATGGCGTTCTTCCAAACTATTAGAATATTGTTCAAAAATAAGAGCAACCCCAGGTGACAGAAAGTCACAGCTCTATTAAGCCACGTATCCCCATAACCCTCAGTAGCAACGACTTTATGAGCTTCTTTTATGATAAAATTATTACTATTAGAGACAAAATTAATAACCAAATGCCCTCAACAGGTATCACTGGCTCTCCAAGTTCAGGAATTTTAACAAATGTAAAATCAGATATATATTTAGACAGTTTTTCTGCTATCAAGCTTCATCAATTAACTTCAATAATT